GAGATTGGCAGGGAAGTTATGGTAAAAGTGACCATTAAAAATAATAAAGTTTTTATTACATGTATTTATGTGAAGAGGTGTCCATGATATGCAAAGTATACACCTGGAGTTAAAAAGCTGATTCCCTGAGTGTTAAAAAAAAAAAATCTGGGGTTCTACACATTAATCTCTGTTTCTTATGGTGGGAGTAGGGGACTTTGGTATATTTTTTATTTTTTTACACAATGAAGTTCCATTTTAAAAAATAATGGGCAATTTAAGTATTTGAATTTTAGGAAAAATCATTCAAGACAAAAACAGAATAAATATTACACATAATAGGCAAAAATGAATACCCTGTATATTCTAGGTGATACTCTGTCCTGGAAGTAAGGATGTTTTTTTAACATGGAAAACAAATGCTTTCTATTGTCAAATGTGAAGGAGGCTTCTTTTGGAGAAACATGGAACATTTTTACTGGGGAGACCTAAAATATCAATTCATTTAATATTTTGATGAAATGTAAGATTGGTCTAGGCTTTGGAAAGCCAAGTTATCTCTTTTCCTGGCCCTTTATAAAATAGAGCAATTTGTTTACACATTCTTCACTCTTTTTACTCAAGGTAAAATAAAAATAAAATAGCCTCTGCTAGCTAAGAAGGAAAGGGATATTTTTCTGAACACAGTTCTGCTTATATGTTAGAATAAAATGTGATGTGGTACTCATATTATGGACATAGATAAGGAGAGTAAAGCCAGCTGCAGAGAGTGGTTCTAGTTTTACATAATTTAGCACACTTTCACAGAATTCAGCACCACGGATAGCTGCAGTGTCCTGGAACATGAGAGTTACCATCTCCCAACCAGTGATTCAACTTTTAATCAAGCAATGAAACTGAATTTGTAAAGTTTATTCAATCAGCAGTACATCGAGTTTTAAACTACCTATACCTGTTGAGAATAAACATAGACAGCATTATGAAATAGGACCAAGAACCTGGCTATTCCTAAATAATTGCCATTGCAGAAAGCACAGATGAGTGATTACCACAAGACTCTCTAAAATAGCTGAATACATTAACTTGTATGTGAATGCTTGCAAGTCACTTCACATAAAACTATCCTATTAAATTATAGACCTCGATAGATGCTTCAGTAAAAATGTCAAACTTTGGAAGTTGGGACTTTTACTTTTTTGCATCATTATTGTATTTACCGTTACATTTTGGGTTTACAGCCTTTACATTTTTCTGTATTCTTAAGTTTTTCTGGAGTATAATTTGTTGCATGGTAGAAATTTTAGCTGGAGCTTCTTTGGTGACTAAGTTTTATTGAGTCAGATGGAATTGCATTTACATTCAAAGGCACAGCACTTGAATATTTATGTGAAAATTCACAACTGATAAAGCATTCCCTAGCAGACTTGGCAGCTCAGGAGGAAAGTACAGTATTTTTCATATCTTTTAAAACCCATGTCTCCATTTAATAACATTAAGTCCCTCAAACTTTCTTTAGTTTTTAAATCTTCTATTTAAAATAAGTATGACAAATATAAATCAAGCATGATGATCAGAATGTGTTTTTCCATATAATGTTCATTGCTCAGTCACGTCTGACTCTTTGCAATGCCATGGACCATAGCCCACAAGGCTTCTCTGTCCTTAGAATTCTGCAGACAAGAATACCGAAGTGGGTTGCCGTTTCCTTCTCCAGGGGATCTTCCTGACCTAGAGATCGAATCTGGGTGTCTGCATTGTAGGCAGATTCTTTACCATCTTAACCACCAGGGAAGGCCTTGAGTATTCTGGAATAGCCCTCCTAGAGGGAAGGGAAGAGGGTGCCTTACTAGTTAACCAATTGGGAAGGTGGGCTCTGTAATCTCTATCTTAAAAGTCTGAAAAAAAAAAATAATTAGGACCCATGCTGTATTGAAAGTGATTCATCATTTTGAGCTCAAGTTGGGAGGAGATAATCCCAAGCGCCAACTATGTACAGAAATGCTGTCCCAGACACTGTAGGGAATAGAGAGGTATCTGAGCTGTTAACCTACAACCTAGTGAGCTTGTAGTTTAATAAAGAAAATAAAACATACATAGCTATAATGAAACTGTAACTGTAGAAAAAGGCTCATCTAAGTATAATAAAAGAAGATGTGTGTGCTAAGTCACTGAGTCGTGTCTGACTGTTTGTGACCCCACAGACTGTAGCCTGCCAGGCTCCTCTGTCCATGGGATTCTCCAGGCAAGCGTACTAGAGTGGGTTGTCATGCCCTTCTCCAGGGGATCTTCTCGAGCTAGGGATTGAACCCAAATCTCTCACATCTCCTTCATTGGCAGGTGGGTTCTTTACCACTAGTGCCACCTGGGAAGCCCAATAAAAGAAGATTTACATAAATATAATTTTTAAAATATAGCATATTTAAAAAATATATTTAAAAATAAATTTATTTTAAAAATAAATTTAAAAATATAGTGCCTGAAGGAAAGATCTAGGGATTCAGGATGTGGAGAAGTAATATCAAGCTCCTTCTTCACCTTTTTTTGGGAAAGGGGAGAAAGGAGAAATCGGGAAAGGCCTAATGAAAGAGGTGGCCTTTTGAGCTCAAACGGTGGAGCTATGGGGTGCTTGTGCCCAGTCGCTCAGCTGTGTCCAACTCTTTGCGACCAGTTGGACCATAACCCACCAGACTCCTCTGTCCATGGAATATTCTAGGCATGTATACTGGAGTGGGTTGCCATTTTCTACTCCAGGGGGATCGTCCCAATCCAGGGATTGAACCCACGTCTATTACATTGGCAGATGGATTCTTTACCACGACGCCACCTAGGAAGCAGGAAGCTATGGAATATGGAGGCCAGTTTTACTGGCAGGCACATTTCAAGTAGAAAAGTAAAGGGGATTAAAGCCTGGAAGCCTACCTGGGCCCAGTGCTCATCAGACCTTGAATGTCAAGCTGGGAAATTTGACCTTCGCCCGTCATTCAGATAGTGGTATGGTCACGTTAGCGGATGGCACGGAGATGGAGGGTCTGCTAAGGTCTTCTGTATCCAGGCATGCCTTCCTTGCTGTACTAGACAGAACAAACATGGTAACAGGAAACTGAAGTGCAAGATAGATAAAGAGATTGTATATGAGGACCTGGATCCTATCCATCTGCTTAATGATGCAGGAACATATATGCACTCAACTGAAAAGGTTCTGGATGAGTTGGTCAAACCATCAGCAGAGATTGCAAGCCAGGGAGAGTCAGGAGAGCCAGAGACATGCCTGATGGTTAATGATGGACAAAGACAGTTTTGTTTGTTGGCAAGGAAGAGGGTGCGTTGCTCACCCGACGTGTCAGTGAGCCTGATGCTGAATCCATGTTGGATTTTAGAAAGGACTGGTCAGTTGTCACTCTCTAGCAATCACATTGTGGACTGCAGTGTCTGATACTCTGGTTTCGGTTGTCACTGCCGAGAAGCATTTACTGATTTCCTCCTGCCAGCCTCCTCAGTTCAAACTCAAGAGGGCTGTTGGTTTCAGGCTTATAATTCTGCCCTCAGAGAATTAGAGATGCTTACTTTGTGGGTTGGCTCACATTTGTGGAATTCTTGCTCTCTGTGACTTTCCCGACCCATAGAGCATGAAGCTCTTTTAAACTGCTGTCTTATTGATTTACCTACATGCTTTTTACATTTGTGCCAGAGGCACAATGAAAACACCTTAAAAACCGAATAAAGAAACTCCCCTCTGTGTCAGGGAACTGAGGCTGGGATCAGAGTGTCAGCATCCTGGTTAGGCTTGAGGCTGGACCTGGGGGTACCACTGGCTTTCTCGGGACCAGCCTGACCTAAGGAGTGGGAGGATGAGGACGTGAGTGCAAAGTGGACAGAACGGAAGTGCAGCACGGCAGGGAGGGGAAGGTGTACACCTGTGCACAGGCGTGTGTGTTTGTCTTATTTTATTCTATTTTTTATTTAAAAATTTTATTGAGTATAGTTAATTTACAGTATCGTGTTCATTTCAAGTGTACGGCAAAGCAATTCAGTTATACACATGCTTATATCTGTTCTTTTCTGATTCTTATCTGATTCTTTTCCTCATATAGCAGTTATAGAATATTGAGCAGTGTTCCCTGTGTTGTACAGTCGGCCCTTGTTGGTTATCTGTCTTGATTTAGTGTGTATGTTAATCATAGGTGTGTGTGTTTGGACAGGATTCTATGAACATGGGGAAAAAGAGTGGAAAGACCTAGGCTAGGATGTTACTGTATCCTGTGGTGGGGAGTAGGGAGAAGGGACAAATGAAGAAAATGACTGACAAAATCTTAGCTTATAGGAAATGATCTCATTAATGGGAAAAGTACACGCTGTGTGTAGATGCAAGCAAATGAAAGGAAAAGAACATTTATAGCAAGAATACTCTTGTGGGGGATGTGAGGCCTGAGAATGACCCAACACTGGGAGCATGTGGTATTGCTTTCTATACTGATATGTTAAATTTGATGATGTCCACCAGGTTTTTCCGTTGTACAGATGAAGTTTTCCTTTGTAAGAAATAAAGCAGTCTGGAGGGTGGTGCTCTAAGATTGTGTAAATATCCTGTTTCCCAACAGTTTTACACTTGGTGATTTTAGCAACCATTGGTGTCCCTCATCCAAGATAATTATTACTTTGGTGAATACAAACTGGTGATTTTTCTAATTGTCTAATTTTTCTTGTATCAGTTGGTATTCTTCTGTGAAGAAGAACCTTCCTTTCTCCTCTGCCCTTTTTAATCAGTATCAGTATGAACTTGTGGATTTTTAAAATATGCACTTAAGATTTAATGTGTGTTTATAATCCATTTCTAACATTGATCATTTCGATGTTACATTCTCCTGTATTTGGCTAGCAGGAGCCCCTATCAGAAAAGTTTTGGAGAAATAGTATCTGGATTGAGTGAATGAAGTAATGGTAGGAAAGTGATGAATAAATCTGTGTTTACCGAGAGTTTCTACCTGTCAATCTAGTGTACTTTTCTTTTTATTTCTCTCTAGGTCTCATGGACTAATAGACTCTCGTTCAGCTGGAACCTAACAGATAAGTCATCCTTCTGTGTGTGAAGACAATGCTTGGGTTTAAAACTGCTCTGAAAATGATGAAAGCAGGATCGCCCCGGTGACGCTGTCAAGGGGCAACGAGCAGCTTGAGAATTTCCTCTTCTCCAGGGAGCAGCTTGAAGGAGACCCCTTTCCATTAAGGAGGACTGTATGGCAGGCAGCCCCCACTGACGGCTGGAAAATGAGTGTTCCGGTAGCTCCTAAGAAGTCATGTTACAATGAATTGCGGGACAGCAGAAACGGAGCAAAAAATAATAACGACCGAGTCCTGAGTTTGGGAGATGCCAATGCCAACCCCATCATGTTGGAAGTTGGCTCCTCTTCTGATGAGCCTGCCACGTGTGCTCTGCCAGAGGAAGTTGGAAATGCAAATTTGAGGGGACCAGAGAGTAGTCCCCGTGTCCCGAAGGAGTTTCACCCACTTCAGGGCTTTGCAAAGCCATCTCAGGCTGGCCCCACCAGCCTGAAGGATTTTAAATTCTCTCCGATGGCTCAGAGAGAACGGAATGAAGAGCCCGAGCTGGAGAGAGGCGCAGACCACCCCCAGGCCCTTCGGGGTCTCCAGGGGCCAGGTCTGCCGAGTCGGAGGACTGTCATGATGGGCGAGTCCAGCCTGGAGGTTCCGGCTAAGCGGGAGGCTGATGTCCCGCGGCCTGTCCCCAAGGATAAGTCGGCCAAGACCCTTGACAATGAGGAACTGAGGAGGCATTCTTTGGAAAGAGCTGGCAGTTCTGCTGCAGCAGTGGAGGTGCTCACAACGGAGCGGGCTGGGGGCCTGGCCTGGCCGCTTCCACAGTCCACAGGGCTGGGGTCCCCAGAAGCCCCGCATCCAGTGCCCGGTGGTGGGGAGGGGCCACTGAAGACGGGGACAGCCCCTTCTCCAGGGCTGCCTTGTCCTCTGGTGGATGGGACCTCAGAGGGAAAAGGCGCACGTCATCCTAAACCATCTACCTCAGTAACCATGGAGACCGTCCCCTTAGAGACCCAGCCAGAGAGGGGACGGGTACCCAAGGTCAGCGCCCAGAGCACAGTACCTTCTGCCCATCCAGAATGCGCTCTTGATTGCTCTCCAGCCCTGAAGGATGTCCTGAGGAGGCCAGAAGCACAAGCAGGTCCGGGGAAGGTGGAGCCCAAGACAGAGCTCAAACCTGTCCAGCCCAGTGCCGTGCAGGAGTTCAAATCCAGCCAGGTCGGGGACCTGGGGTGTCGTCAGGGGCATGGCGTGTCACCTCTTGGGAGAAAGGAGCTAGCTGGGGAGGCACAGGCAGGAGCCTCGGCTTCTGGGTTGAGCAGCCTTGCACATGGCGTTCCCCACCCTCCGGGCGCGGGAAGAGACAGAGGTGAGCCGGAGAAGGGAGGTGAGGACGGGTCTCTCCGAACCACCCCCAAACCGAGCCCTGGTTCCTCACTAGCTGCAGGTCAGCAACCCACGGCCAGAAGTTTGCCGAGCGCAGCTTGGAAGCTGGGTGAAATGGTGCCCAATGGTGTGTCACCAGGGGATGGTCACGTAGCTTTTGTTCCTGGAGATTCGACTGACGGCAGGCCCTCTGGTGCCAGTGATGAGAGAGGTGTCCTGAGAGATGGGAACAATGTCAGCATTATGGTTTTTGACTCAGATTCCTCTTTTGGAGAGAGAGAAACCGGGGTCCCTGAGCCCCCCGCCCCTCCAAGCAGCCGTTCAGAGGCTGAGGAAGGCCAAGAGGTCTCTCTATCTGTTGCAGAGACCAGGAACCATCTAGAACCTTCAGTGAAGACTGAAAGCCCCTCCCCAGTGAGGGCAGATGTCCTTCTTGGTGTCCCCGCGTCCCTCCACCCAGAGACAACTGTGAATGTGGCCCGCCAGCCCCCGCCACCCAGCAGCCACTTTCAGGACTTGGGCGCATCGAGTGTGGATGTGGGGTCCCCCCCGGCCGCCCTGCCTCCCACTGACAGCACCGGGTTGTCACACACCTCCCCCAAAGTGCCTGCCAAGAACGCCTGCCCTGGGGGCCTCCCCCGTCTGGAGGACACACCCGCCTCACTGGAGGGGACGGTGGGCCCTCCAGTTGAGAAGAGGGAAGAGCGGGCGGACCCCAGGCCCGTTGTGATGCCCAAGCCCAAGCACGTGAGGCCCAAGATCATCACCTACATCCGGAGGAGCCCGCAGGCCCTTGGCCAGGTGGACGCGTCGCTGGTTCCCATGGGGCTCCCTTATGCTCCGCCCGCGTGCAGCGTGGCTCTTCCTAAAGAGGACAAGGCAGCAGGTGGTGACCTGAAGCCAGCTGCTGGCCTCTACGAGAAGTTCAAGCCAGACCTACAGAGGCCCCGGGTGTTCAGCTCTGGACTAGTGGTATCGGGGATCAAGCCCCCAGGACATCCCTTCAGTCCAATGAGTGAGAAGTTTTTGCAGGAGGTAAGAGAATGTCATTGTGAGACAGTCTGTGAGTTGAACATTCTAAAGTTTGTGAGGTATTTTCAATGAATCATGAAAGCAGAGTGTCCTCTCTTAGCAAATTAGACGCTGATGGATGCATTTGTACAGAAAGGGGTGTTGTGAACTAGAGCAGATTGCAGGCAAATGAATGGTTTCCAATGGAAGAGTTTGATGATCAGAATGAGGTGGATCTAACATCTAAAGGGATTCTTTTAAATTCTGCCTGACATAGTACATAAAAGTTAGAAAAGCATTTAAATTGGCTTCCATATTTAAATTGTTCTTGTTGTTGTTCAGTTGCTCAGCCATGTCCGACTGCAACCCCATGGCCTGCAGCACACCAGGGTTCCCCTGTCCGTCACCATCTCCTGGAGTTTGCTCAAACTCATGTTCATTGAGTTGGCGATGCCATCCAACCATCTCATCCTCTGTCGCCCCCTTCTCCTCCCGCCTTCAGTCTTTCCCAGCATCAGGGTCTTTTCCAATGAGTCGGCTCTTTTCATCAGGTGGCCAAAGTATTGGAGTTTTAGCTTCAGCATCAGTCCTTCCAATGAATATTCAGCGTTGATTTCCTTTGTTGTTGTTCAGTCGCTTAGTCATGTCCGATTCTTTGCAACCCCATGGATTGCAGCATGCCAGGCCTCGCTCTCCTTCACTGTGTCCTGGAGTTTGCCCAAACTCATGCCACTGAGTCAGTGATTTCCTTTAGGATTGACTAGTTTGATCTCCTTGCTGATAAGTGAGCACAATTCTATAAAGTAGTGGGGGAAGAAACCCCAAATGAATATATTGTTCAAATTGCTCAGACTTGATCCTCTGAAGGAGAATATTTCCCTATGTGAGACTTTCGTGTTTGTATACAGTACAGTGAGTAGAAAATAATGTGTTAGACATGGGCTCTGTTTTAAGTCAAAACAGTAATTACAGCTAGCATTATTTGAGTGCCTGCTATGCACTGAACCTCATAGCATCACATTTTCATCTTTGCCCATCTTTGCTAATCCTTGCTGTGATTCTCTGGAGGGTGGGACTGTGGTGCTCTCATCATTGTCCAGATGAGGAAGCAGGTTTGGAGAGCTTTGAGTTCCTCATCTAAAGCCACAAAACAAGGGCAGCGCTGAGCTGACCACCTGGGTCCTCACTCTGCCGCCCCTCTCAATACCGGGGCTGGGGCCAGTTGTTCTCCCAGAGCTCAGAGAGCAGGTTTTCTCTGGACTCAAACCTCATGACACCCAGCGATCAATTGAGAGGAAAGTGAGACCAGGTCAGTGTTCTCCCTGACATTCTCCAGGTCTGCTCAGACCGCTGTGGACATGGGCTGGAGCCGGTAGGATGGCTCAGCTGTTAGGCTGCCCTCCGTCTGTCTTCTTCACTTCCTGACCACCTCTCCTTCGTTCCCGCTCCCTCTACTGCCTCAGGGCCTTTGCACTTCTCTCTGCTCAGAATATTCTTCTCTTAGATACCTGAAAGACTCTCTCCTTCACATTAGTTCTCTGTTCAAAATATCACGTCATTATGGATTTTCATTTAAGGAAGTGTAGGTGGCGCCGTGGTGAAGAGTCCGCCTGCTACTGCAGGAGATGCAGGAGACTGGGATTTGATCCCTGGGTTAGAAAGATCTCCTAGAGAAGGAAATGGCTACCCACTCCAGTATTCTTGCCAGGAAAATTCCAAGGACAGAGGACCCTTGTGGGTTACAGTCCATGGGGTGGCAAAGAGTTGGATATGACTGAGCACGCTTCATTTAGTTCTTCAAATAAAGTAATTGTGTGCCACCTTCTCCCCCCAAAACGATACCCCAGATTTTTTTCTGAGAAACACATCTGTGAGAAAAACTGTATTTGGAGATGTAGACAAGAATCCTTTTACTGTTCTTTCTCTCTGACCCGCCTTATCATTTCTTGTGTATATTTTCTATCTTTGTTGCTTCTGCTCCATCCATAAAATACAGAGTAATTTCTATATTAGATGCATATTCCTCCCTGCTCTCCGCTCCCCCACCCACCCACAGATATTCTGTAGTCTTAACCCTGTGGAAGCCATCCCAAGTCTTCAGGAATTGGCTTGAGTGTTTATGAAGCTTTAGTAGCTCTGAGGGGTTGGGAGAGACCCCATTAGCATGGGGACAGAAGTGCCACTGGGCACCAGTTCCTCTGTCCAAGGACCGTTTTCTGCCATAATCAGAGAATCTAGGGCCCAGACCCTTTCTTCAGGCTACAGTAAGAACCTGTTTGCTTGTGTGCCTGAAATGATTTTGGAAATTTGAAATCACGAGGATTCTTTAGTTTGCTTTTAAATTATTTCTCTAAAAGTACTGCATTGGAGAAGGAGGGGGAAAAACTCCATTTCAGGTTAATCTCTCTGTGTCTGTGACTGTGCAGTGACACCTGCTGTGTTTTGTCAATAAAGATGAAAGAAAAGAGTGTGAAGCTTTTTTGTAGACGCTCTTGTTTTATTAAAAATGCACAATAGGCATCTAAGGAATACTTTTTGTTATCTTACCAGAGACAAGTTACCCAACAAAATGATAGGCACCAAAGTTCCTGTAATCGTTAAGGTCGTTTTTGAATGATGGCATGATGAATTTTAACCCATGAAACCTATCCAGTTTGAAAAAATGGAATAATTACTGAGAGAAGACATTGCAATCTGAAAAACCCAACAGATGTAGGTTAGAAATAATAATTTCTTCATGAGAGCACCTGCTGAAAGACATGAACAATGACACCAAACATTTAGACACTAAAATTTAAAAATAGAGGGAAGATGAGTATAATTGAAATGCCAAAGATTGAAAGTGAGAGAGTAAGTAGAAGTAGTAAAAATTTTATCAGAGAGCAGATGTAGAATATTCCTTTCATAGGAATATAATTTGCTGGAGCCTGAGTTCCATCTATTGACTATAGCAATCATACATATTTTACAATGTGATTATGATAAAACTTTAAAGGCCTCATCTTTTGTTTCAATAATGTCAATTTAAAGAGAACTTTTATCTATTTCAACATTAAAAGAGTATTAAATTAAGGGTTTATCTCTTCAACAGCCTGGATCACAGCTTTATAGCCCCTATTAAAGAATGTTGTTAAATGCCTGTGATTCCTGAATAGATAGGGGTTTGACTTGTAACATGTATTGTGATTTAGAGTAGACTTAATTAACACGTATGTCTTTTCATAAAGGAAGTAAGATTATTTTTCGGTGACTTATGTTCTTCATTTCTAGCATGAGGAAGCACTGATACTATGAACAGGCTTTGTGAGTACAGAATTGCGTATATAAAAGGTAGCCATATGATTGCATATATGTAAGGCAGCCATCCATTGTATTCTAATCCAAACTGTTAACCACAGGAAATAGTAACATGATGACATGATGTTATGTTATTGGATTCAGGAAAGAATGAAACATGATTCCTTTATTTAATAGATGTTTGTTGATTTCAGCTCTGTGCTAGACATTGTTCTAGGTGCTATGAATTCAACAGTCAACAAGACTCTGCCCCAAAACTTCCATTCTAGCGAAACTTGCTCAAACATTCCTGGAGGCACCACCATACTAGGGAAGACAATCAGAGGTAATTCAGTCTCTCATTTTTAATTATATCAACAGAATATAGAGGCCTGAAAACACATCTTTCCATTAACTTCTCTATTCTTCCATTAAATAACCTTTCCTCCCTCATTAACAATGCATAGTTTATTTCCTTAGTAGCCTAATAAAGACTTAACCTAATTGATAAAGTTCATCAACTTATTGTAAGACAAGGTCACCAGAAAAACTGTGCTTTTCTCCTTAGGAATAATGAAACTTTCATAATTCCATGAACATTTGCTAAATTCTTGCCTTGCATCATTGACATTATTTATAGTTTGACTACTTGCACAAATTCCAATGATTTCATAACGATAAAATTTTAAAATCTTGTGGAGGGAGTTCTTGTTTCTCCCAGTGGAATGTAGATTCATAGAGTATTAGAACCAGCATAGACCGAAGGGATCATCCCGTTGCGGTCAACATAGAGATGAAGACCTGGGCCCGGAGAAGGTAAGTGATGGGTGATGTAACAGCTCAGTGATGCCAGAGTGGTCGTTGTTGGAGCCTTGGTCGTAGGACGAGGTTCAGTGCTCACCCTGTGATGTGTGGTTTTCTGATTGAGCTTCTGGTCATTTATCCTAGGTTGCAGAACGCCCTGGAAAAGAAGAATTTTGTTCTCCTCCCTATGCTCATTATGAAGTTCCCCCAACTTTCTATCGATCGGCCATGCTCCTTAAGCCCCAGCTGGGATTGGGTGCGATGTCACGTTTACCGTCTGCCAAGAGCAGGATCCTGATTGCGAGTCAGAGGTCTTCAGCGGGTGCCATCCACCCACCGGGAACCATAGCCGCAGCTGCCAGTCTCTACAGTTCCGACCCTGCAGGTAACCAGTGCAGCAGGGACTGCTTTTCCTGCTGTGCTTTAAAATAGTGAGCGAATAAAATGAGGGTAGCTGTCTAAAGTAGGAGTGCCTTTCCTTCTTTAGAAGGGCCTTTCCCCATTCTTCTGTTTGATTGTAGATATGGACACTTGTCAAGACTCCTCTATCTACCACTGTCTTCCTCTGCATCACCCTTAAAATGACGGCCCTTGTAATCACCACTTTACAGCTTTTAGTTTCTCCTTTCCCTGATACATCTTATGGACCAGCATTCAAAAAATTGTTTCTGTAAAGGGCTACATAGTATTAATAAATATTTTAGGCTCTCTGGGCCATAATGATCTGTGTTGTAAGTACTTAGCATGAAAGTAGCCAGAGACAGTATGTGTATGCACGGGTGCAACTGTGTTTCGACACAGCTTAATTTGCACAAACAGATACAGGCACACCTTGGAGATGCTGTGGGTTCAGTTCTAGTATTTGCTTCACGCAGTAAAGTGAGTTTTGAGGTGTTTTTTTTTTGTGGTTTCTCAGTGCACCTAAAAAGTATGTTCCTGCTGTGTGTGTGTGGTCTCTCGGTCATGTCCAACTCTTTGTGAACCTGTGGACTGTAGCCCACCAGGCTCCTCTCTCCATGGGCTTTTCCAGGCAAGAGTACTGGAGTGGGTAGGGTAGCCGTTCCCTCCTCCAGGGGATCTTCCTGACCCAGGAATTGAATTCATGTCTCCTGTTTCTTCTCCATTGCAGACAGATTCTTTACCCACTGAGCCATCTGGGAAGCACTGGAGTCTATTAAATGTGCAATAACATTATGTATTAAAAAGCAGTGTATCTACTTTAATCAAGAGCTGTTTATTTATCAAACATATGAACCATCATCTGAGCCTTCAACAAGTCATGCTAATAACATCAAATATGACTGATCACGGATCAGCATAACAAGCATAATAGTAATGTAAAAGTTTGAAATATTGTGAGAGTTACCAAAATGTGACATAGAAACATGAAGTGAGCAAATGCTGGTTGGAAAATGGTGCTGATAGAGTTCTCGAGGGGGGTTGCCACAAACTTTTGATTTATTAAAAAGTGCAGCATTTGTGAAGTGCAGTAAAATGAGGTATGTTTGTAGGGGACTGGATTTGGCCTACGGAGAGAGACCTTCCTGCAGTGCAGCGGTGACTGTGTCATTCTTTTCAGCTTTTCCACATCTTGAACAACCCATGTTTGCCCACAGAATGGCCCTGCCACCTGCCCCAGCCCTGTCCTGTTCTGCACTGGCTGGACCGTGTCCCCCCCCCCCCCCCCCCCNACTCTGCTCTTCTCTTTCTGTCTCTCTGTCCCTTCTTCTGCTCATGTCATTTCCTCTTGGTTTTACTTTATTGTCCTATCTTATTACAGAAATAATACATACCTGTTGTAAGAATATTTTGAATATAGAAAAGTATAAAGAAGAAAGTCACTGTACTTACATTTTTAACATCCAGCCAGAGTTAATATTATGGAAATTTTTCTTCCCATGTGTTTCTTTCCGTGCGTGCTTTAATAGTTGAATTAATACTGAATGTGAATTTTTATTTTTCCTTCTAATATTATATTGTAGGCATTTCCTATGCTGTCAGTGTTTTAGAAATATTTTAATGGCAGCATGAGATTCTGTTTTGTTCACTTATTTATTGTTTTAACAAATTCTGGGTGGTTATTATGTGCTAACAGTTGTAAATTGAGGGCTGCAACAGTGAGCAGAGAACTCCTGCCTTTGTGCAACTTAGTCTAATGGATGCAATAGACAGTAAAAAAGCGCAAAGATAAATGCATCATTAGAGATTGTGATAAGTGTTAGGAAAGTGAGAAGCATAGTGCTTTGAGAACCTGCAACCATAAGAGAGTTGTATGAATGGGACGAAGGTGGTTCTGGGTGGCCTCTTGGAAGAGGTAGAAGAATGGGTGGGGAATAGAAGCAGTATTAACTTATGCAAATTGGGCTTTGCTCATTCTACACTGTCTTCCATGATGTTGCAATTTGAATCTTTGAATTTATTTGTTTTCTTTCATATTTTTCTCTTAGATTATCTGAAGTGTAGTTATTGCATAAATGCATATTCCAAACATTTTTTAAGGCTGACCTATTTTCTGGAAAACGTGTAATAATAATTTTCATACTGTTGTTGAAAGTGCTTCTCAATGCCACACTGTTGCCAGTGTTGAGTATTACCATTACAGTGATTATCACTACTACTGCTATTATTATTGTATTTCTTTTTAAAAATGTTATATTTTACTTGGCTGCATCGGGTCTTAGTTGTGGCATGCAAACTCTTAGTTGCAGCCTGTGGGATTTCTGACCAGGGATCATACCCAGGCCCCTTGCACTGGGAGTGTGGAGTCTTAGCCACTGGACCACCAGGGAAGTTCCTGCAATTCTTTTATAATATTAGTGGAAGGAAACATTTTTTAATCTGTTTGTCATTTTGTTAGTTGTCATTTACTCAGGTAATTACTGGTCGTCATAGTGGTTAGTTGTTTTCTTGGCAAGCACTGCTATAAAAAGCAGATTTTTTTTTACTGGTTCCCATGATATGTGTGTATTATGATGGATCTACCTGCTGTTACAGGACTGCTCAGGTTAATTATGTGTTCAGTCTCTCATTCAACAATTAGTGCTGTGGGGCTGTTACATGTCAGTCTTGTTCTAGGTGTGGGATAAAGCCGTGACAACAGAAAAAAAGTCCTGGTCCTTGTTTTAGAATTTTAGGATGGGAGTGGGCACACTTTTTTTTTAGTGAATAAATAAATCACATTGTTTATTGGGAGCGGTTGTTCAGTCGCTCAGTCATGTCCAACTCTTTGGGACCTCACAAACTACAGCATGCCAGGCTTTACTAGTATTGAAGAAAATGAAACAGAAAAGGACAATTAGGAAGTTTGGGACAGGAACAAGGGGGATTCCAATTTTATTTCTTGAAGAAATAGTTTAAAATGTTTATTTAAGAATCTACTTGCATTTTCTGCTCCCTTTATGTTTTATGGCTTTTTTGGTTGTTGTTTTATTTTCATTTATGTACATATTTTTTTGGTCATGCTGCATGGCACTCAGGATCTTAGTTCCCTGACCATGGATGGAACCTGAGCCCCCTGCATTGGGAGCATGGAGTCTTTACCACTGGACCACCAGGGAAGTCCCAGGATTCCAATTTTAAATAAAGTGGTTGGGAGAGGCCTCCCTGAGAGATGACCTTTAGGCCAGTCCCCAAAGGAGGGCAGGGAGGAAAGAGCCAGTGCAAAGGCCCTGGGGTGGCAGGAAGGCCAGGGAGGCTAGAGCTGAGTGAGGGGGCAGGGGGACAGGTTGAGAATGGCAGTAGACAGGTGATCGGCATGGAGGGGACGTGCAGGAGGGCTCAGAAGGTCATCAACCTTTGACTCTGAGTGAGGAAACCATTGGAGGCTTTGGAAGCGGGGAAGTGGGGCAGTGTGATCGGAGTTTTGTGTCAACAGGACCTTTCTTAAGCCCCAGGTTGAGAGCATGCTTTAAGGGGACAGTTTGTCTGTGTTATCTCCCTTACCTGCCCCACACACTGCCCTCAACTCTACAGACCTTGACCTGTGTCTTCAGCTCCCTGAGATGGACGGACTCTGAGCCCCTCCTGCATCTGCTCTGGCATGAACCATGCCTCCAGGCAGAGGGAGTGGCAGCGATCAGCCTCCTCTCTTCACCTTCCTTCTCCAAAGGGTCACATTCCTGTGTTGGCTGTTGCACAATTTCTTCCGAGTCCTCCATGGTAGACTCTCCCACTGGGACCCCTGCCCATTCCCCGTGTGTATGTGTGTTAGTCACTCAGTTGTGTCCGACCCTTTGCAACCCCGTGCACTATAGCCCGCCAGGCTCCTCTGTCCATGGGATTTCCCAGGCAAGAATACTGGAGTGGGTTGCCATGCCCTCCTCCAGGGGATCTTCTTGATCCAGGGATCCAACCCACATCTTTTNCAGGCTCCTCTGTCCATGGGATTTCCCAGGCAAGAATACTGGAGTGGGTTGCCATGCCCTCCTCCAGGGGATCTTCTTGATCCAGGGATCCAACCCACATCTTTTATGTCTCCTGAATTGGCAGGCGGGTTCTTTACCACTTTTATGTGGGGAGCATCGTGGCTTTAATGTGGCTTAAAAGAACCGAATATGCTATAAATACAAGCTAGTCCACAAAGCATGTTCTCGCAGTTTCTTTGTTATAAATGAGTACTCTTTCCTAAGACCCTTAAAATTTTACAGATCTTAAAGTGACTCTGCTGAAAAATAAACCTAAGCACTTCCTTACTTTGTACATAGTTTCTTGTTTTGTGTATGGTGTTTTCTCACTCTACAGTCAGGCATAAACCTATGAAGTGTCACTGGCAAACTCACGATGCTGTTTAAGTACTCAGAGGACAACAGCAGACTGCTAGCTGCCTCCCTTGGTTGTTGTTGAGTCGCTCAGTCCTTTCCGACTCTTTTGTGACCCCATGGACTGTAGCCTGCCAGGTCCCTCTGTCCGTGGGATTTCCCAGGCAGGAATACTGGAATGGGTTGCCAGTTCCTTCTCCAGGGGAGCTTCCCAACCCCAGGAATTGAACCCAAGTCTCCTGCATCTTCTGCACTGGCAGGTGGATTCCTTACCACCGAGACACTGGGAAAGCCCTAGTTACCTCCCTCTGAAAGTGAAGTGAAGTCGCTCAGTCGTGTCCGACTCTTAGCGACCCCATGGACCGCAGCCCACCAGGCTCCTCCGTCCATGGGATTTTCCAGGCAAGCGTACTGGAGTGGGGTGCCATTGCCTTCTCCTACCTCCCTCTAAGTGGACATAAAATCTGTCTTAGTGAAACCTAGGATTGAATATAAAAACAACTTGTTATGAAAACACAATTTTTTGTTAGATCCTTCACTACTAAAGTTAAAAGGGCAGTTCTTTACTGCACTGTCTTTTTAGTAGATTTATATATATTTTATGTTTCTTTTTTCTGAAAAGCATCTC